ACCGACTGCTACAGTAAGCCGCTACGCTACATGGAAGAGAAAAGGCCCCCACAGATTTAAACACCTACAACCACGTGGCTGCTTCTCGACAGTCTTCGTCAGGTTTTTGTTCAAGTGTGGGTCTTCGACTTATTTTCCCAGTGTCCGAGGTGCGGAACCGAATGCGATCACCGTTTGACGACAGCGCAGTTTCCAAATTTCTTCGAATTTCTTTTAACGGGACAGTCTGACATGAAACCCAGAATCTCTTCCGACGGCAGGAGATAGACACGCAGTCCGGAAGGGGAGTGACACGTTGGAAATTTTCCTGAAGAAACTGTTTCCTCTTCTAGAATCCAGTCACTTCTCGGGTTAAAAGTGCCCTGACAACCGCTTTTTATCCTGCCTTAACTGTTATCGCTCAGAAAGACTGGGGCAAAATATCACAAGATCTGTTTCATGTGTAGAAACACATGGAAGAATCACAGGGGGAAATTACTTAAAATGCCACTCTACGTGGTTAGAGAGATGAAAATAATCACTACATCTCACCAAATATATTTGACCTCCAGAAACCAGAACGGCACTTCCACAGATCTGGTGATACGAGTGGGTTTCCAATCTCTGATCCTCGTACGATCTGGATTGTCCACCATTAAAATAATTTACATGACCATACACAGCTTAGAATATATAGACAGCTTGAAAAACAAGAGTGGGAAAACTTTCAAACCATTAACTGTCGTGTTTCTCTTATCAGTACCTGGCTCCAAGAGAGGTTCTTCAATATCCTATTTTGAAAAAAGAAAAGAGAAAAAAATCCACAAGGCACTTAGAAACAGGACAGATACCTTTCCCTGGCAGACACAGCTTCAATCAAGTGTGAATAAATGCCTGTTTCAAACGACTTTCTCCAGTGGTTCCAGTCAAGACACCGTGTTGCATTCTAGGATGATTTCCATGAGAACAAACCCATTTTGCTGGCTTCTTTCCCCCCAGCAAAGCCTGGCAGGCAGCAGTGACACTTGGCCTATTCGAATTCCCCGGGGAGGGTGTGGCCACCCCACCCAAGTCTGAGCTGACCGAAGGGCCTCTGGAGAGGGCAACAACTGCCACAGTGAGAGGTCACACAGTCGACTGCTTTATACATCATGCCAGATTTGAGTAAGATCTAGTTCTCTCCAAAGAAGCTGTTATTTATCACTGGAACCTGTCAACAAAACCATCTGTTTTCTCAAATCCTTTCCCTGGCTCCCCACTGTACTTAAGACAGCGGGCCAAATCTTTTCCCTGACCCCAGATGGGGGTAGTCAGGCCCACCAACGTCTGCAGTCTCACTCCTGCATCCTCCACCCCTACAACCAGCCATTCTCCCTTCGGGCCCAAAGTCCTCTTTCCCCTTTCTCTGGATTAACTCCTGACCTATGTGTCAGACCTCAATTTGGGTTGGGCTCCTCCGGGAAGCCTTTCAGGAGTTTTTATTGCCTTCTCCCTGATGAACTTCTTTTCTAGTTACTTTCTTTTTGGTTATTAACGTGCCCCCAGTAGAATACAAAAAGCAAGACTGTAACTTGTTTGGCTTAACCTCTTACTCCAAGCACTTTGGCTCAAGATCAGTGTTCAAATCAATTTTTTACAGACGCACATCCTTTTTCACTATGGAATATTAAACACTCGCCTGATGTTTCCAACCACGCACAAGCAGGTGGTAACCTACCGGAGGTACTTTGAAGTCCAATGATGAAGCATCCAAAGTATTCTCGAAGCCCTCCCCATCCACCTGAAAGACAAAAATGGAAGACCGCTTAATGGAGACAAAGTTATGAAGGTCAAGGCCTATATACCTCACCAGTTGCTTTTTTAATGTTTATTTATTTTTGAGACAGAGAGAGACAGAGCGTGAGCAGGGAAGGGGCAGAGAAAGAGGGAGACATAGAATCTGAAGCAGGCTCCAGGCTCTGAGCTGTCAGCACAGCTCGAACTCATCAACTGATGAGATCATGACCTGAGCCGAAGTCAGATGCTCAACCGACTGAGCCACCCAGGCACCCCATACCTCACCAGTTTCTAAGTGACTTACATGTCTGTTTCCCTCTTAGCGCCCGCCGCCACCTGCTAGTGCCACTGGGTAGTTCACCATTGGATTATTCAGTTTATCGTTGGCCTCCCTGCCTCCTCTGACAGGGTCTCACACAAGGTGGCTGCTGTCAGTGCTGGCCCACAAACATACAAGTCATTTCCCAGGCAGTTTCTATTTACTGGTGGTCCACATACGTGACCCAGACATTTTTCCAGAGCAGAACTCAAAAGGAAAATGAAAAACTTCACACTTCTCCACTTTCCCTTGGTAACAATACCTTTAAAAACAACATCCACTGGGCACTTTCTCCTAGGGGCTTTATTTAAAACATTTAACCAAACTGGTATCTTCTGTATTCAATCTGAAAACTTTTTAACCTTCTTAAGTGAAATACAAAAATATGCTTTCCCAAATGTGCTTCCTTTTCCACGTTTGAAGCTTATGACCTGGGTGATCTGATTAACCAAGAAGAAACCAAGTTCATGCTTGGAAATAATTAACACACAACAGGATCGCACTGAGAGAGGACAGCAAAACAGCTGCCCAATGGCACCCTAGGCGGAGATGCAGTGATATTTGGAGTTTGTGATTTTTGACCTTTACGGTTTAAGGTTTAAAGTTCAGTCTTACGAGGGCACTTTTTTCCCCAGTTTAAAGCGAGAACAGTTAAGGCGGGGGGGGGGGGGGGGGGGGAAGGGAGGGGGACCCAACAAACACAAACAAAAAATACCAACCAAACTAAGAGGATGGAGTATGCCAAGGTGGTAAGGCTAAAATGGCAATCAGTTTTAGGAAGGCCACCACAGAGAGGTCTCTGCCAAATACTAAAAGTCAAAGCTTGAGAAAGCAACACTGGTAACAAGATTAAAGCCCTCCCTTATGCACAAGGATATGAAAAGTGGTTTTCTTTAGGGGCGCCTGGGTGGCTCAGTTGGTTAAGTGTCCAACTCTTGGTTTTGGCTCAGGTCACGATCTCATAGTGAGATCGAGCCCCATGTGTGGAGCCTGCTTGGGATTCTCTCTCTCTGCCCTGCCCTAGTTTGTGCTCTCTCTCTCAAAAAACAAAACAAAACAAAACAAAACCACCAACAGGACAATCCAAATGATGAACTTATGACCTGTCTTCTTATCATCCCACACATTTTTAAAACCTTTTTTCCAAAGGAAAATACTTTGACCAAGTACATCAGTCTTTTAAGACTTATGCGCAGAAAGTGCCTCCCGCCCATTTATCAAAATATTCCTCAGAATTCTAGAGAAGTTCTCCGGTAGTTAACATCAGACTTCTACGGAGTTTCAACGGATGTAACTTGCCACGAAGGTTTAGACACCGAGTTCAGTGTCTATGGTGGATGCGGTCTAATCAAGCAGCAGGGTGTTCTTGCTCACGTGAGCAGCACGTGAGCACTGGGGAGCCTCAGGGCTACTGGCACATTCCACCGCGTCTTCAAGTTACCTACAGCGTGCTCTGTGAGCTGCGCAGGGAGCTCTCGCAGCTGTGCCGCCACATATTCTTTGCTGTCACACAGGGAACCAAGAATGCTGTCCGTGCCGTCCTCCCCAAAGTCGGGAGCGGTGCTGTTTTCAACTTCGCTCTCTTCCAACACACCGACATCCATCACGTCCATATTCCGCAAGCTCTCTAAACCTGTCTCCATATCCTCCTGGAAAGAGAAGGAAACGCGTCAACGACCGGGGGGCTGGTGGTGGCGCTCCTGCTGGCATCTCCGCCTTCGATGCCACGTACCTGCCCATCTCTGGAATCTTCTTCCAGGCCGTTGTCTTCTGTGCCTTCTTCCTCCATCTTTTGTCCTAATTACAAAATAACCTTTCAGTTAGGTTAACATTTAGGTTCTCACCTCCTAATTAGTTTATGCACGCTGACAGATTTCAACCTGGGTGAGGATACATCATAAGCAAACAGAAGAAGGACCCGTTCTCCCACTGTGTGGAATTTTGCTGCAACCGGGACGTGGAAATCGAGGATTTCTATACTATTGTCAAAGCATTTTGGTTTTGCACAAGATATCTAACTTTAAAAGACCTCAAAATCACTCCAAACTAAAAAAAACACCCCAAAAGAAAAACGAGCAAAGGATGAACGGGCATTTTCCAACAGACAGACACTTACAAATGCCAAGTCCACCTGGTGATCAAAGAGCTTCATCCCAAAATAACACTAGATTAAGCTGCTGCTTCTCCCACACATTCCACCCACGTCAGGCAGGCTGACCACCTCTCCTTATTCTCCGGCTCAGGAACTTTTCTTTGCAAGGTACAAAGGTAAAGGCTACCACAAAGTCAATGGTCATCCTGGATCTTGTAAATGCAGAACTACTTAGGATTAATGCTAAATATTTCCAAGGGGGGCTGGAGGAGGAGGGTGGAAACTTCTAGGCTTAGAAGAGAAGTCAAACCTTTGGGCTCCATCGTGGATCAAAAAGCCTTAAAATTGTACAAACCTTTTATTCTAGAAATTCCCTCTATAGGGGCATGTGCTAACACTAAAATGTCTGACAAAGAACAAAACCAAAAGTACCCTATCTAGAAATATACATAGCCCAAGCATTCGAAAGGAAAACACATCGTGACAGTCTGTTCACTCGTGGGACACCAGTTGCTGTCAACAGGGGAAGTTGGGTGGAATCTGGCCATGACTGGAAACATTTTTGGTGTCACAACTGGGAGATGCTCCTGGCATCTAGTGGGTAGTGAGCAGGGATGCTGTTCAACCTAAGATAGTGCACAGGACGGAAAGAATTCCTTACCCCAAATTGTCAACAGTGCCAAGTTCGCAAAACACTGTGGCACACCACAAAGGTCTTAAAAAAAAAAAAAAAAAAATCATGCTCCTAAAGAATATTTAAGAATACGTGACAATGCCTATACAATTAAAAAAAAAAAAGGAAGAATCAGGTACAGTACGTCTACTTTTACTAAATAGCACATAGAGGTGCCTGGGTGGCTCAGTTAAGTATCTGACTCTTGGTTTCTGCTTAGGTCATGATCTCACGGTTCCATGGGTTCAAGTCCCGCGTTGGGCTCCGTGCTGGCAGCATGGAGCCTGCCTGGGATTCTCTCTCTCTCTTCCCGCCGGCCCTCCCCCCCACCCCCCCATCACTAGCAGGCCTCTCAAAACAAACTTAAAAAAATAGCACGTACGTGTTTGTATACATCCAAATGCAAAGACGTATTTACAGTACATACGTAAAAGTAACAAAGGCAGCCATCAACAGGGGTTCAAACACAGTGGTAGAATTAGAGATAGAATTTTACTTTTACGTGTATACGTTTTACATGTTCTAAGCTATCTAATACAGCTTCTAAAGTATCTAAACCCTTCCATAATTTTTTGAAATGAGAAAATTAAACAGAAGAAACCTCAATCTTTGAGTACAGATCCAAGCAGTATGTACCCCCGCACGCGCCCTCCAGGCCACCGTTAACACTCACTCAAAACGTGTAGCTTTATCACCTGTCAGGCACTGTGCTCTTTATATTATTAACACTCCCACGACACTAGCAGGTTTATTAGCTGCATCTGACAGCTGAGAACTTGGTTCGGTTCTTAAAGACTCAGCTGCACTGGTTCCCGTTATATGGGAATCCAGCACTCCCTTTCGCAACATGCGCTCTAAAAACGTTTGGCAGCTGGGACACCTGGGTGGCTCAGTCGGTTAGGCGCCTGACTTCGGCTCAGATCATGATCCCACAGTTCGTGAGTTCGAGCCCCGCCTCAGGCTCTGTGGCGACGCTCGGAGTCTGGAGCCTGCTTCAGATTCTGTGTCTCCCTCTTTCTATCCTTCCCCTGCTCGTGCTGTTTCTCAAAAAAGGAATAAACGTCAAAAAAAAAAAATTTTTTTTTTAATGTTTGGTGGCTGCACCCACTTGCAGGCCCTCTAACTAGTAGCCTGCTGTACCCACAAAGGACGGAAACAGGACAGATGCAGACCGAGAAAAGCCCTCCCTAAAGGCCAACAGAACGACAAAAGCTGGGCAGGGGCCACACCCCAATTCCAAGGGTCTGGTTTCAGCAACTAAAAGCTGAAGGGGTGGCGGACAAAGATGCTAGAAAACCTAATTCAGAACGGTAATCTTTCAAAATCACATCCACAAGCTTCAAAAACTTGCCTGTCTAAAGCTTAGCTACTTTTCACTTTGATGTAACCTTTGGAGATCTAATTTCAGCCAAGATACAAGAGGGTCTGGCACTTCATACCAACACCCACATGTGCAGACACCTGCAAAGAGCATGCTAGCTGAACAACTTGCAGGAGCCGCCCTCGGCCCCAGGACCCTTCTGGTGACTTCTCAGAAAAACAAAGGGGAAGGGACCGGTGCCCCTTCAATTCCAGCTACAGTTGCACTAGTATAAACGTTTCTTTATACCAGCAGAAATAAAGACCACCAAAGCTTTTTTTTTTGACAAAATGGTAAGTCCAAGCAGTTTTAGTGTCACCTAAACTGCAACCCACACGTTCAGACACGCACTGGAAGCACTCAGCCACGATCTGGTTTGTCTAGCAATGCAAAGATCCCTGTTAAGAGCCAGGAACATTTTTGACTCGTAAGCCTCGAACCTCCCAAGTTTTAAATGAGCACCTACATTAAGAACTTTCAGACACAACTTCTAACAGATACAAGGCTCTCAATCTGCATTCTCTTGACTAATTAGTATAGATACCAGACCATTACAAGAGCAGTAACAACACGTTAATGTTTTAAAATTCAGCTTAAATGGAAATCCCTAAGGCAACCTAACTCAGAAGTTTAACCTTTCAAAACAAAGTTTTTAAACAGATGAGTCATGCAAAAGCCCTTCTAGAACAGCCCTTCTAAAAAGTAAACTGAAGTTACTGAAAACGCTACAAATTACTTTCTCCTTTTGTAAGCGGGTGTGCTCCACTGCCTAAATTTAACTCTTTTTCAGATGAACAGGGTATAGCCCACGGTGAGAATTCTTGCGGTGGCACCTTTCAAGAAAATAACCCACATCACACGCAAGTTCCAAAATCAGATTGTCCTTACCCATACAAAAACTGAGAACGAAAACCAATGACGGTAACAAGATTTCAAAGCTTTGTGGAACTAAATACTTCCAGAAACAGCTGGTCCCATCCACGAAAAGAAATGAACCACTGACAGATGTCACAAACTAGAAGACTCTTGGAAACACCCTCAATGAAAGAAGCTAGGCACAAAAGGCCACGTATTGTGCGATCCTATTTACGTGGAACAGAACAATTACACACTTCCGGCAGGGGAGGGGGGCGGGGAATGGGGAGCAAATGCTAATAGGCACAAAGACTTCTACATAGGGTAATGGAAATGTTCTAGAATCACGTAGCAGTGACACAGCCTTATGAATATACTAAGTAACGAATTGTGCACTGTAAACAGGTGAGTTTTATAGTATTTGAATCACGTGTCAAAAAAAAAAAGGGAGAGAGAGAAAAAAAATATCTGACTGCTGAGCACCTGGCAAGCTCGGTCCACGGAGCATGTGACTCTTGACCTCAGGGGTTTTACGCTGGGTGCAGAGATTGCTTAAAAATAAAGTCTTAAAGCGAACAAGAAACAACTCACTAGCGGAAAATAGGCTGGGTGTAAACCCTCCCAACAATCTATTTTGGACCTTTTGAGCAGCTGGGTTCTATTTAGTTTCCTGCTGGTGTCCTTTCCCTCGGTTTAAAGCCTAGTTGGGGCGCCTGGGTGGCGCAGTCGGTTAAGCGTCCGACTTCAGCCGAATCCGCGATCTGCGTCCGTGAGTTCGAGACTGTCGCTTGGCTGACCTTTCGGGCCTGGAACCTGCTCTCCCGATTCTGTGTCTCCCCTCTCTCTGATGACCCCTCCCTCAACCATGCTCTCTCTCTGTCTCAAAAATAAATAAACGTTAAAAAAAATATTTGAACTTCGGCGCGCGGGTGAGCTGCAGTCGGTTACAGCGTCCGACTTCAGCCAGGATCCGCGATCTCCACGGTCCGTGAGTTCGAGCCGTCAGGCTGCAGGCTGATGGCTCAAGACACTGACAGCCTGTTCCGATTCTGTGTCTCTCTCTCTCTCTGCCCTCCCCGTTCGTATCTCTGTCTCTCTCTGTCCCAAAAATAAATAAAAAACGTTGAAAAAAGCCCTGTTTGAGACCGAGGAGGAAGCCACAGCAGGTTTGGGGGACCTTGACCTAATTCAGCGAATAAATCCCAGCGACAAATGAGAGTGTCCTACTTAGTACCACATAAAGTCTCTTTACGATGTTCCAGAACTCCGCCAAGGAGTGATGAAAACAAAAAAGCAAAGCGGAATCGGATCCAGCTAGGGAACCACCAAAGCCCCCCTCCGGCCAGCCGGACAGAAAGCGGTCTGACAAGACCAATTCGCCATGTCAGGTTCTCTGAACACCGGGCCTTAAGTGCCCGGCACAGGCCACTACAGCTGACGCATCTCTTTGTCTTCTTGCGTCCTGTGATGCCAAGTTCATCGGGATCCTGCCCTTCTTCCTTAACAGCCTGTGAAGAAGAGATAAAATTGAACAAAGTTGAGGAGCTGGCCGGGGCTGGCGTCGATTCTGCTGGCGCCTCCCCGCCCACAAAAGTCAACCTCGCTGCCTCGAGCAGAGCCCGCTAGTTCTGCTGCGGCGCGCAAGCCCTTAGAAGCTTGCGTCTGGATCTCTTGGGTCCGAAGCACCGGGGGATGTGGCCGAGGTCAATGATTCTACAGAGGCCCTAAAAATCGCCCGTACCTTCGCTTTGAAGATAACCAAGCACATGACCCTGCATGGAGGCGCGAACCTTTGTAAAAAACTCTTGAGTGGTGTTCGACAGGCGGAGGGGGGGTGGTGGACAGGACTAGGGAACTCGATGGAAGCTCAAGTCCTGCAAGGGCCTGTTCTGGTTGGGGAGACGCCCCCCCCAATGCTCGGGGTTGGGATAAGACGCGGGCAGGGGCAGTGCATAAGCGGCCAGAAGCAGGAGACGGAGCAGACACCTCCACAAAGGATGTTGGGGAAACATCTTGCAAGCAAACCGAGAAAGACGCCAAGGCGCCCGCCGAGCCATGAGGACGACCCTGGAAGAGCCATCGAGGCACCAAGACCTACGAGAGACCCTGGAGTAGGACCGGCACAGCTCCCTCTCCTGCAACATCCCAAAGGCTCCTCGGTCATCCGTTCTCCAGGAGGAGGGAAACTGAGGGGCCCTGCCAGGAGAAGAAGGCGCCTATCCAAGGTCACGAAGGCAAGTCTCTCGCAGGGCCCGAGGCAAGTCCAGGAGCCAGTCGGTGCTATCAGCACGCGCTTTCGGCACTCAGGCACTAGTTGCAAGGAGGATCAGGCAGACACAGAGAGGGCGGTGACGGACCAGGTCACACAGCCGCGGCCCCTGGTCCCCGCAGAGCGGGCGGGTCCGGCACAAGGGGGGAGTGGAGAGAAGGAGGTCCAGGAACGCCTTGAGCGGCCGCGGGCGAGGGCGTGCCCCGACCTCCTGCTCCACCGGGACCGTCCAGCCACCTTCTTGAGCCGCTCCATCGGGACAGCTCTTGTTTGCCGCCATGTCCAGGTTCCATCGCTTCCAGCTCCGCCCGACGGTCTCACCTGCGGTCAGCTCAGCCAGCCGCGTCCAGCCTCGCACCCCGCCCGGCGGCTGTGCAGGGAACCCTTGACTCGCCGTAGACCAGGTCCTCCGCCATCCCAGGGTCCGCGTCCGCCACCTCAGCTTCCCCCGCCGGCGGCTGCTGTGCACTCTGAGCACAAATGGCGCCGCCTAAGGGAAAAAGAGCCACTCGCTTTCTCCCGCCCGCTTTTCCGGCCGCGCGATGCGCGTGCCACACATATTCCAACTTATAGCAGCACGCGCGCTCGCGCGTCGAATATCCGACCCCACCACAACGCGCGAGGCGCCGTAACTGCAGCACGCATGTCGCGGCCGTCCCGCGGCGGGAGGGCAGAGACGAGCTGCAACGCGCCTGCGCCAGCCCTGTGGGCAAGCTCCTCACGCGCTTGCAGACGCGAGTCGCAGCGTCGGACTCCACGCCGGGCGCTTGCGCAAGACGTCCAGCGCGCCAGGGCGGCTCAGTAGGTTCCTCAGCAGACGCCATTTGCCCTGTGCTAGGAGCCGAGACCGCATCAACCGCCGGTTCGTGTAAGTGGTGGCGGAGGCCAGGGTCCCTGGAATGGCGGAGACTCTCTGGAGGCCTAGGCATTCGAGTACGGCAGGCGCAAGGCTTGACCGCTCTGCCTCGTCCGGAGGCCGGGACGCGGCGCCCTCAGCGACCTGCAGGGAGAATCGATCTGCGGGCGGAGCTGAGGAAACGGAATCGGACTCGAGCGGCAATAAGGCGTTTTGATGTGGCATCAAAGGTGGGCTGCAGGGCCCTGGGGGCGAGGAGGTGGCGGCGTGGGGGGTCTCACTCGCGAGCCGCGACGGGATCCCCTGGTCTCTGGGTCCGCCTCCGGCCCCCCTGGGGCCCCTGCGCCTGCCTGGCATGCGGGCCTCCCGCCTGAGGCCCTCAGCGGGAGCGCCCAGCCAGCGGGTCCTGGGTGCGAAGCGCGCCGCTCAGGAGAAGAAAACCTCGGCCGACCGGGACAGCGGCCGCGCTTCCCCGGCGGCGCGGGGGTCACCTAGGCCTGAGGCCCCTGTTTTTCCACCAGCCGAGTGCGCGGAGGCCCTCCTCTCGTTGTCCCATCGCAGCCAGCAGAAAATGAGCAGGAGACCGGACACCCCTTTTTTCCCACGGCAGAGGTCAGGGGGTCTCGGCCAAGGTCCACGGCCGCGAGAGAGCAGCGGGACTGAGAACCCCGCCGAGCCCGGGCGTTCTCCGAAGATGGAATGCGCCTTGACCCGTTAGGGCCGACGCGCCTCGACTGGAGGGCTGATTCCCAAAGGCGTGCCAAGAGCGCTTCCAAACGCTTAAAAAAAAAAAAAAAAGACGAGAAGCGGTTTATGGGCTTGCCAGCCGCAGGTCCAGAAAATCCCGGGGGAGGGAGGGCAGCGTTTACAGTGGCGACCGGGGCCGTAGAGACGTTGGCCGGAGGAGCGCGGAGACCGCGTCAGGCCTTCACCCGGACGCCAGGCGGTTGAGGGGCTCCACCGAGGCGTCTGGACGCCGGGCTCCACGGCCCGGTCGCGGGCAGGGAAGCCCGTGGACGCTCCCTGAGCCGCCTGGACCAGAAGGGACGGTGGCGCCCTCGCGGTCGGATCAGCCGAGGTCGCGCGAACCGGGCTTGGCACGGTGCCTGGCACGTGAGGGGGCCGCGGTGGGCCCCGCTCCCTCTGCTCCCCCCCCAGAAAGCGTTTGCGCAGAGGCAGGGATTGTCGTGACCCCCCACCGTGAGGAGCCCCGAGGGGCCGGCGCGGACAGCACGCGTTAGCCACACGTCTGGGCCCTTCGGTTCCCCTTTCTGCGCGTTGCGCTTGGCCTCTTTGCCTTTTCCCCTCCGCCCGGCGTGATCTGGGGCCGTCTCCCGGGGAATCTCGGCCTCCCCGGCCGGCGGCCCCTGCAGGCGACGTGATTTGTGATTCTGTCCCCGCTCCTGGCTCCCAGACAGTCGGGTGTCAGGGCTTTATTTGTTACTGATCACTGTTCGGAGGAAGCGGGGGTTTCCTATTTTCCGAACGAGGAAGCTCGGACTTGAGAAGCAGGAGTCGATTAGCTCAGAGTCGGTTGGGCCTTTCTCGCCGGCGCTTGTGTTTCTCTCGCCATGGATACCGACCTCCTTTGTTCGAGGCACCGCGTAGTCCGTCAGCCGAGACGTGTACCTTGACCGAAGTGCCCGCAGGCCGAGGGGTGGCACCTGGGGAGTTGGGGTCGGCTTGCTTAGCCGCCGGGGCCCCCCGTCGGCAGAGGCAAATCGGGACCTCTGTCCTTGTTTCACCCCAGACGGTCTGCAAGGCTGATAGGATGGCGTTGAGCCTTCCTGTCACGTTGGTGGCTGAGACCGGTTGGTGTGGGACTTCGGGGGACCCTCCAGCACCGTCCCCCCTGAGCCGTCTTTGCTTCCTCCTCTGCCCCTTCGTTTTCTCAGGGATGCGGTGATCGTGCAGAAATGCCATCAGCGTTTTGTGTTCATCCGCTCCCCTGCCCCAGCGAGTCTGGAACTACTGCTCCTCCTTCTCTTCTCTGTTCTTAGCACCTAGTGTCCCTTCTCCAGTCATTTTTCCAGGAAGGAAGTGAGGAAAAGGCGGAGGGAGCACAGAGTGTAGTTCACCGAGCTCTGTAAGGATGACTCAGAGCCCACAGTGCCCCTAGAGATGATCCCGTAAACACGGCACCCAGGGGAGACGTACAGAGGGGCAGAACGGTACGCCTTCTGTCCGGGGGCAGTTCTCTGTTCCCCCCGCAGGATTCCAGAATCCTCTGTGGCCAGGAAGAACATGGGGGACTTTCTGGTTGTGCTTTCCTGGGTCCCAGAGCGGAACTTCCACTTCTTCCTCCTTGCTCTGGCTTCGGAGAGAAGGGAGAGACTTTCTTTGCTCCTGGTATGGACTAGATGTGGAAGCTCCTAAGACCCATTTCAAGTTCAGCCTTCCACGCTGGAAAACTCCTTCCAACCTGAAATTTCTGAAACCACCGACAAATAAAACACAGCGTTTGCAGCAGGTTTAAATAGAACTCGTGCTCACAGGAGAGTATAGCACCGAGAGACAGGGTTCTCGGTAAAGCCGGAAAGCACAGCCCAGCGTCCGTGGAGGTCATCAGCGACCTGCCCAGTACCAGTTTGCCGAGTGCCTCCTCGGTGCTGGGCATGTTGTGCCCATATTGTGGGTGTGGGCTGTTCAAGTGAAGGACAGGCTCTCAGGATGGGAGGTCCGGCTTGCCGGGAGAGCCTTCCAATTCTGTATCCTTTCAGGTGGGTCCCCTAGCAGTTAAGAGCGAGACCTTTGGAGTCAGTCATAGGTGTGGGTGACCTGATGAGGTAATGCGTGTCAGTTCAGTCTTGTGCTGCACACGCTATGATGTCAGCCCGTGAGCGTTAGTATGTAGTCTGTACAGACAGTGCTACGTGTAGGCACGGCATGGACAGGGGGTCACAGAGGGTCAACAGCACATTGCTGGGTGAAGTCGTAGGAAATGGAAGAGAGTGCTTTTCCCTTTTCGAGTTCTTCTTGGTCCAGGAATAGAATAAACTAGGTTGTGGTGATGATAGTGTTAAAACAGCTGATTGTTGAGTGCTTGATTTACACAGATGATAGAGTTCTCGGGATGACCTTCTAGGGTGAATACTTTTATTAGCCTCACGTTCCAGAGTGAACTATTCAGAGTAAGTAAACGTGCCTTAATCCATACAGCTAAGGACTGGTAGAGTCTGACTCCAGACTCATTGTTCCAACATAGAGCTAGACCACAGAGGAGTTGGGGGGCAGCCCTTTCCTGAAGTCTCCATGAAAGTCAAGTCTGCATGTTGCCTTTTTTGGTTAACTTTTTCTCTTTAACCTTCCCTTTAGGCAATTGAAGATGAAGGGGGTAATCCTGATGAAATTGAAATTACCTCTGAGGGAAACAAGAAGACGTCAAAGAGATCCAGCAAAGGTATTGAGAATCTTATAAGCGCTTCTAACTTTAGGAGCTCTGTTCACAATTACTTTCTCTGCTAATGTGCCTGCCTGCTTACTTGGCTGTGTTTGGGGCCTGTGGACTGCCCTGTGACTCCAGAGGGCCTGGAATGAAGCTTTGCGTTTCCAGTAAGATTCTTCTAGTATATTTTGTTTCTCTAGTATTTACGAACTCAGACAGAGTGGGAAGGGTATTTACGTATTTGTTCATTTTATTCTGTAGGTTTCTCAGCAGCTCTTGTTTGTCCAGACTCTTAACCTTCTTCTTTACATAGAGAGTATTTAGGACTGCTTGGGTCTCCTATTTCTCTGACTTGCAAAACATAACTTCTTTTTTAAATACCACCTGACCAAAACAAGGCTCGTCACTCTTACAGCATTGCTTTCAAAATTGCCTACTGCAGAAATGCCACATTGCACGTGGCATTAATGATCTTCACTATCTCACCCAAATCTCTATTTCTTTCTTCACCCCTACCGCCTTCCTCTACTATATCCTGGGCTTTAGTCAGGCCCCAGACGTGTTTCCTTTCTTGAACCTCTTTGCCTGAATTTACATGTTGCACCTCCCCTTTTTCCCCCTCTGTCTGCACTCAAGTCTTTGTCCATCAGCAGACAACTGTGATCCCATCGGCAGCAGCTCTTCCGTCCTCAGATCTTCTACGGTGCGATGACCTGCCTCCTTATACTTTGCTTTAATGCTTATGTCACCTTGTCAGTGTTGAGACTGTGGAGGGCAAGGGCTCTATCTTCCTTGTCTTTCTTTTTCTTCAGTATTCACTCAGTAATTTAATTCAGTAACATTCAGCTACTCTTTTAAGAAAGAATCCACTAAAACTGAGCATTTGAACTGTTCTGAAAGTTCTGTTGATAATTGGTGGCTTTGTTGCTCAAGCCCCAAAACAAAATGAAATCTTTATATTGTCTGGCCAGTGGTGAAGAATTGGGTTTGAAATGTCTAAGACCAATGTCAGTCCCACTGTGTGGTGTGAGCTCTTGGAGAAAAGCAGCCAGGTGACTTGACTTTGGAATGAAGTCACTTCTGTGGTCTATAGTACATTGTGCATTTTTGGCTTTGTCCAAGTAAATGTCTTTGCCAGGGCAAAGAGTACTGGAAAATCACAGAAAGATGGTCACCCTGGAGGGAAATAGAGCCTGTTGGATCTCTTTTTCTTTTTGATTGGAAAAAGAAGAAAGGAAGTAAAGTATTCTAAGTGGGTATTTTGTTTTTGATGTTTTTTAATCTTTTTTTTTTTTTTAAACATTTATTCAGTTTTGAGAGATGGAGAGAGACAGAGCTTGAGTGGGGAAGGGGAGAGAGAGAGGGAGACACAGAATCCAAAGCAGGCTCCAGGCTTTGAGCTGTCAGCACAGAGCCGGATGCGGGGCTTGAACTCACGAACCGTGAGATCATGACCTGAACCAAAGTCGGATGCCTAACCGACTGAGCCATCCAGGCGCCCCAGTTTTTGTTTTTTAAACACAGACATGTATTAAGTAAAATGTAGAAGTTCCTTTTTCCCCCAGTTATTAGAAGGTTGGGGATACTTTCCTGGACTTTCCTGTGTACATGCAGTCTTTAAAAAAATGCACAAAGACACATATACAGCTGTACAAATATATTTTTCTCTTTAAGAAAATAGGTCTGGGACACCTGGGTGGCTCAGTCAGTTAAACGTCCAACTTTGGCTTAGGTCGTGATATCCCAGCTTGTGGGTTTAAGCCCCGTGTCAGGCTCTGTGCTGGCAGCTCAGAGCCTGGAGCCTATTTCAGGTTCTGTGTCTCTCGCTGTCTACTGCTCCCCCACTAGTGTTCTCTCTCCTTTCAAAAATAAACTCAGGGGGGAAAAAAAACCAGAAAATAGTCTTAATTTACAAAATATTTTGTGGGTTGCTTCTTTCACTTACCATTTTACGGGCATTCCGGTGATTACAGGTAAAAAGACCTGATTTCTTAAATAGCTTAATAGTAATGTTTCATATCAACATTCCACAACTTAGCTCATCAGTGTATTACTAGACTGTTGAGATTTTTTTTTCCAGTTTTTACTTGGTGTTTTCAGTGATCTTTGCTGCCATGAATCAGAAATATCTTTGTGTATTTAAGGGAATATCTTTTTTGGTAACTTTTAATAGAAGAAGAATTGTGGGGTTTAGATATGTGCCTTTTATTTTAAAATAGCTACTGACAAATGGGGGCCCCTGGGTGGCTCAGTCGGTTAAGCGGCCGACTTCAGCTGAGATCATGATCTCGCGGTCTGTGGGTTCAAGCCCCGTGTCAAGCTCTATGTTGTCAGTTAAGAGCCCGGAGCCTGCTTCGGATTCTGTGTCTCCCTCTCTCTCTGCCCCTCCCCTGCTTGCTGTCTGTGTCTGTCTCTCTGTCTCTCTTTCTCAAATAATAAGCATTAAAAAAAAAAAAAAAAAAAAAAAAAAAAAAAAAAGCTACTGACAAATGGCTCTTCAACAGGCTATACTGTTTAATATCTCTACCAACTACAGGGAGGGGGAGTGTCTATTTAAATTCTCCCTCAATGTTGAATAGTATGTATTTTTTTTAAATGTTGTCTCTTATGTAGAAGAGAGGTATCATATTTATCTGCATTTCTCCACAGGTAGTTTTCATTTGTATTTCTTTACATAGATTAAACAGCTTCTGGTAATTGGCCATCTGTATTTTCTTAATTGCCTTTTCATTTCATGCCCTTTGCCCACTTTTCTGCTGAGTTTGTTTTACTGACTTTTGAGGACTCTCTCTGTATAAAAACATTGCAATTGTTTTTTCTATTTTAAAATTTAAACTTGTTCGTGATGTTTAGGTTGTTTTATTTAAATTTTTTTTTTAGTTTTATTTATTTATTTTGCGAGGGACAGAGAAGAGAGAGAGAATCCCAATCTGCACTGTCAGCACAGAGCCCAACGCAGGGCTCACCCAAGAACTATGAGATCATGATACCAACAGTTGGGCACTAAACTGTCTGAGCCACCCAGGCACCTCAGGTTGTTAAAGTTTTAATTTTTAACACAGGCTGCACTGTCAACCTACCCATTCTATATAGTTTCTAGATTTTATGTTGTGTTTTAAAAGGCCTTCCTTTCCTTTAAAACTGTAAAAAACATTCTGCATTGTAGAGTAACGTTTATTTTATTTTTTAATTTGGGTGCTTAATTCATTTGGAATTTACTTTTGCGTATGGTGTGAGGTAGGTAGGGATCCAAGTATATGGAACAGTGTTATCCAATTCCTTGTCCTTTCCCAGTCACATTCCCTTGAGCCCCCTCACACCCTCCCTAAAAAACATGTGTTGTGATTACTTGCACGGTAGATTACTTTTGCCTCTTCTAGGACTTCGTGTAAAACAGAACCATTCAGTACAAACTCTTGCACCAGGTTCTTTGGTTGGCATAATTCATTCTATTCTGGAGCTCTGCAGTACATTTTGATGTTTGATAGGGCAAGTATGTAAGTTCTACTGAATTATATTCAACAACTTTATTGCATTTTAGCAAGATTTTTTTTAATATGTATTTTGAGAGAGAACTTGCACACTCGGCAGGCATGCGTAAGCGGGGTAGGGGGCAGAGGAAAAGGGAAACAGAATCCCAAGCAGGCTTCATGCTGTCAGTGCATGCCCGATGCAGGGCCCCATCCCACCACCTCGAGATCGTGACCTGAGCTGACATCAAGAGTAGGACACATACCTGACTGAGCCAGCCAGGGGCCGCCACTTCAGCAAGATTTTAATGAAAATAAAGTTCTTTTTTCTGGCCCGATTGGTGGACAGACTCCATGGTTTAAAATCTGCATGTTGGTTATTTTAATCAGAATCTTAGAACGTATGCCTGAGGTAATCTCAGCACTTGTCTAGTGTAGGGTCATACCAGTAATCTGTTCGGTAGAGTTTTTTTTTTTTTTTTAATGTTCATTTCTTTTGTGATCAAGTGCATGTGCGTGAGGGAGGGAGGGGCAGAGAGAGGGAGAGCGAGAATCCCAGGCAGGCTCCAAGTTGTCAGCGGGGCTCTGTCTCCTGAGCCAAAACAAGAGTTTAATCAGCTGAGCCACCCAGGCACCCCTAAGCAGAATGTTTTAAAATAATTGTCAGAAAAGTAAATTTAACTGGAAAAAGCAAAACTGATAGGTTTGCTTTTTAGCCAATACCTGATCCTGTGCTGCTGATTTGTTTGTTTGACACAAGTTAATATTAGAGAAAAGATGTAAGACTGAGAAATTTTTGTGTATCCTGTGTCCAGATTCCCCAGATGTTAGGATTTTACTACCTTTTTTTATTCTCCTCCCAGCCTTCGTGTGTATGTATACATACATACGTATGTATGTTTTGTTTTGTTCCTCAATTATTTGAGAATGATTTGCTGGCATGTGCCCTTTTGCCCTACATACTCCAGTATTGCCTAAAAGCAAGGGTGTTACGTAACCGTAGTCATCAAAATCAAGACGTTAACATCGATAAAGTTGTCTAAGCTCAGACCTTATTTAGACGTTAGGCTCTTCACGGCTCAAAAGGAAGAAAAGGCCAGGGTCATGCATTGCATTCAGTTGCCATGTCTCTTTGGTTTCCTTTTATCTGTAACGGGTTTTGTTTTGTTTTGTTTTGTTTTGTTTTTTAATGTTTATTTCGGTGGGAGGGGAGGAGGGAGGGAGAGAAAAAGGGCTGGAGGCAGGCTCCATGCACTGTGCGGTGAGCACAGAGCCCGACACCGACACCAGGCTCCAGCTCATGAGCTGTGAGATCATGACCTGAACTGAAGTTGGACATTCAACCGACTGAGCCCCCTCCCCAGGTGCCCGTCTATAACAGTTTTTAAGATTTCTGTTGTATTCTTGATACTGCCATTTTTGAAGAGTACAGATCGTTTATTACGAAGGCTAGTTTGTTTGTTTTTTAATTGGGGTTTGTTTATTCATTCATATTTCTTTTCCTCATTAGGTTCAAATTATACACTTTGGTCAGCAGTACCAACA